GGTCTCACGTCACCGCTTTTGCTGACGTGACGTCAATCCCGAGGCAGAGTGACGCATGTCGGCGGCCGGGACATGTTGACCACTGCGCCTATTGGGATCAACGTTGTGCCCCGCATCCGAAGGATGTCCGCGCATCTGTAGTGTGTATCCTCGGTGGGGTTGGGTGTTATCTCTGACTTCGCCATGTCAAAATCGAACATCGCAGAGGGGTCCCGTGTTGTGCCTGAGAAGGATTGGAGAATGGGGTTCCATTGTTGTTGCGTGCCTCCCGGGATGGATTCTTCTGCTGTCCAGGTTGAGAAGGGGTGTGCCCAAGGTCGGATGGCGGGGGTGGGGGTGGGACTGTGGATCTGTTGGGTCTGGGGGGGGCGAAGGGCGCTGTTCGGTGGTAGGACATGTACGTGGTTCTTTTTCTCGAAGCATAAAGGATCAATGTGGCATGCTCACCCAGGTGTATCGCCAGCCATGTCGATGAAGTCCCTGCCTTTATAAGATGGTCGGCGGTGCCCGCAGTGAAGTGTGCACGGTTGCGCCTCAACAGTCGCCAGAATGGATACTTGCGTCTTTGCAATCCGGGGCGCTGTGTGGGTCTTCTTTTCACAAGTTTTCCGCAGTCAAAGGGTAGCGATTCCAAGCTGCTCACACATACTTTTAGGGTAGGGATGAAACTTTTTTTGGGGGGGGCATGGAAGCCAGCAGCACGGGGATGGGGACATCTCTGATCTTCCTCTCGCCTTCCACTTGAATGAGGACAGCTCATCCTCTGGGGTCTCCATCACAGAGGATGCGCCTTCCTACAAACTTCAAGTAGAAGCTCATGTGCCCTTGCAAGCAAATCAGTATCCTCCTGGCGTCGTTGGCGGCAAGGCGTCCTCAACGCATATGTGGTGTTTGACAAGTGATACTGTCTCGTACGTTCCTACACCAGCTGTACCGGCGAGAGTGTTCATGACACCGGATTCAATGGCGAGGCAGGAGGCAATGCTATTGCAGCACTGTTACAGGGTGGATTTCTTCCACCGACTATCGCGGATGCCATCGCTCGTCGTGTGATAGTGAGTAGCCAGCTGTCGGACATGCATGCAAGTATCCTATATGACGTAGCCTAAGGCGGCCACCACGTTGGTGATGCCATCACGTCGGTGCGGCACATACAAGCTGGTCGTGAGGATCATCGCTTCTTCGTTGGGTCTGTGGGACTTGCTAGTACGACTAAGTCGACTCTGCACGTTGCCAATGTCGTTCGGGAACAGAGCACGTGGTGGAGAGGCAGTTCCACCAACATCGCCAGGAAGTGGGCAATTTGCGGGCGTTCCAATGACTTGCCATGGTGGAACTGCTGGGCAATTGACTCCCTCTGAGGTGCCCAGTTCGTATTTAAGTAAGCCTCCACCTTGAGGGACGCCATACGGTGAGAACGAATGTGGCGAGGGAGAGGTTGTTAAAGAGGTGACTGGGCAGGGTGGCAGTAAAACGCAAGCAGGGAGGGGTCGTGAACGGTCTACACGCTCTCTTAAGGACACTCTTGTGAAAGACAGATCAAGAGGTGGAAGTGCAAACGCTGACGGATGTTCGAAGTCAGGGAGTGTTCATAGCTCCGACTCCTTGGACGAGAAAACGAAGGCACAACAAGGATGCGACTGGACAGAGGAGGAAACGATCTCGCTCACAAGAGAAAGCATACTTGTTAAACTTTATAAATAAAATGAGAAAGGTGTCATGATTGAATTGTTGGACGATATAATTCCTTAGGTTATCCCTAAGTTGCACAAACATGTTTCTCCTCTCGCCCGAGAATGTTGTTCGGATGTTTGATGAGATCCGAACTTCCCTAGAAGACAGTGTGTAATGGGAGGCATGCCCATTCGGGAAACCAGTGCGAAAGTGTGCTGAGATCCATACATGTTAAACTTAATGTTTATAAAATTAATATGATGAGCAAGGTGTCATGCTTGAATCCTTGTTGGACAAATTAAATTTATTTCTTTAGGTTATCCTCAAGTTGTGCATGCATGCCCTGATCTCCCGTGACGATTGTTTGGATGTTGATGAGAGTCGGACTTCTTTGGAATACTTAGTGTGATGATGGCCACACCCACCATCTCGCCCGATATGCAGAAGTATGTTGAGATTTATACTTGTTTACAATTGTGATGAGGAAGGTGTCATGATTGTATTCTTGTTGGACATTTTTGCTTTGAACAATGTGTCATTGTAAACTTGTTGTATATATTATAATGTTGTTTGTGTCATCAACTTTAAGTAATGTTAAGAGTTACAGTACTAGTCGAAGTACAAATTAAAGATCCTCATTGCCACAAGGCCATTGACTAGGGCATAGTACACGCGTATGTGGACCGTGTGGACATCGGGACCCCACTCCGTCTGTCGCTCCAGCTCCGACCCTCTCTCATACCGGGTCTCCTGAATAATGACCTCCTTCCCGTCGATCCTCTCTTGGACCACTGCCGTCACGTCCACCATCGCTGCAGCTCTCTCTCTCTTTCTCTCTCTCTCTGTCTCTCTGTGTTACCGCTCGTTCATTGAACGCGCGTTTCGTGTTCATCCTTTGAACGCGGTGAACGCGCGTTCAGTGAACGGCGGTAAACGCGTTTGACGCGTTTGCGCAGGGGGTTGTGCAGGGTGGGGGGGGGCTGTGGGCAGTGTGGGG